AAAAGAAAAAAAGGAAAAGAACTACTCATATGAATATCATCAACATCATCACAATATACTATCATAGCTTGGCCTTCATCATTAACATCTCCCAAGTTGTAATTTTCTTCATCACCATCATCATTTCATGAAGATCTATAACTATACTTGGCTTAAATGAAGATTCATTTTCATTTTCATTAAATTGATCCTAAATGTCATAGTTTCTTGCATAAACAATACTACAATGTCAGCTCCTTTTAGTCAAATACTAATTTATCCACTTCATTTGACTTAACATCCATTTTTAGTGTTGAACACTCATTAGCATTATTTTTCAATTAAAAACCAATGAGAAAAAATTAAAAAAAAAACAAAATATTATAAACTCAATGAACTGTGCAATATAAACTATAACATATAGGTTGGGATGACATTTATTGAAGAAAGTAGTTGAAAATAAACTAGGGTGATTTGCATATGTCTAATGAAAATAGAAAATGCACAAACCAGATGAAAACATAAAATGATTAGGAAAAAATAGTAAATCCATAATAATAAGTATATAAGTTTATGCTTAATGCCTCAAGAAACACTCAATAGAAGGAATGGAAATGATGATACATAAGTCTGACCTGAAAACCTAGGGATAAGACTATTAATGCTAATGAAGATGTTCATAAACTTTAACTTGCTACACATTTCTGCATAAACAAGTGTTTTGCCTAAAAATTGGTATCATGAATACTTCATATTTTAATGTGATCAAACTACTGACCATCAATCTACTCAAGTTTAACGTTAAAATAATAATTCAATAAAACCAAACCATATTTATTGACTCACTTTAACACTAAACAATGGAAATAGTATTGTTGTAATCCACAAAAACCTACACAAAATCATTAGGGGGTTCATTTTTTAACTGACCGATCAAAATGTAAAGTGTCAATAATTTTCTTTAAAAGTATTTTTATTAATCCACCTAATCAAAATTTAATGTGACATGAGTTTAAAAGTAGATTTTTTTTAAGCGAGCACAATATTTCTCTAGTGTTAAATAGTATTCTTCCACGAACGTGGAAGTTTTCAAATTGGTTGCATTCACATAGTTTTGATTTAAGTGGGCAAGCATAGACTAGTAAATGAATGAAGATAAATCAAGTACTATGTTTTTCAAGGTTGTTCATTTATCTTATTATTAGGTTTGAAATGAAATTGAACAAGATAGGAGTTTTAAAATAGCTTGTTTATTGAATTTCTCATCAGCTTTGTGTTGCAATTGAGCTTTAATGTTCCTAATTATATGAATGGTATCAACAACAACAACAAAGCCTTAATCTCACTACGTGGAGTCTGCTACAAGAATCCTTTTTCTCAATTGCATCCTATTTAGTGTCATATTTTCATTTCGTTCTAATAAATTAAGATCATTTTTTTATACAGTAAGCCCAAGTCTTCCTAGGTCAACCTTTGCCTTTCTTAACACAAGTCAAATCTAAAACATCCACTCTCCTAATCGGATCATCAGATGATTGATGCTTAATGTGACTAAACCATCTAAGACAATTTTCTCTAATTTTGTCCTTCACAGGAGCTACACCAACCCTATCACAGATATATTCATTTCACATTTTGTATCTAAGTGTAAAGCCACTCATCCACCTAATCATTCTCATCTCGGAAACACTTAACTTAGTATTATGCTTCTCTTTTAAGGGCCATCATTCAGCGCCATAGAACATTACAGGTCTCACCACCATCTTATAAAATTTTCCTTTCAGTTTAAGTGGTACTTTTCTATCACACAAAATGCCTGAAGCATTCCTCCACTTGAACCAACCAACTTGAATTCTACTATTAACATCCCCATCTATGTCACCATCGCTTTACCCGAGATATTTCAATCGTTCATACCTTTTAATAATTTGATCACCAAAAGTTACACTTCAGTCACTATAGTTACTACTACTAAAATTACATTCCATGTATTAAGTTTTAGTTCTACTCAAATGAAGGCCTTTAGACTCCAATATAGACCTCCATAATTCAAGTTTTTCCAGGGCTTTTTCTCTCGACTTATGCACGAGAAGGATATCATCAACAAAAAGCATACAACAAGGTACATCCTCCTGTAAATGTCCAGTAAGACCATCCATAACTAAGCAAAAAGGTATGGGCTAAAAGCTAATCTCTAATGTAATCCAACAGAAATAGGAAAATATTTGTTCAATCCTCCTTCAGTTCGAACACAAGTAACAACTCTAGTACACATATCTTTAATGACTTGAATAGAAGTCATATCAACACCTTTCTTCTCCAGAACTCTCCAAAAGATATCTCTTGGAGCCTTATCGTAAGCTTTTTCTAAATCAATAAAAATCAAATGTAGATTTTCCTTATTATCTATGAATTTCTCAATCAAACCTCTCAATAAATGTATAGCTTCCATAGTAAACATGTCCGGCATAAATCCAAATTGATTATGAGAAATCTTTGTAATATGTCTTAACCAAAGTTCGATTGCCCTCTCCATAATTTTAAAGTATGTCACATTAACTCAATCCCTCTATAATTTGCACACTCTTGTGCATCCCCTTTATTCTTAAAAATATGAACCAAAATACTCTTCCTCCATTCCTCAAGCATCTTTTTAGTTTTTAAAATAATATTAAAGAGTTTAGTAAGTCAAGAAACTCCCAAATCTCCTAAATATTTTCATACTTCAATTGGGATATCATCAAGTCCTACAAATTTTCCACCCTTAGTTTTCTTTAAAGCCTTCTCAACATCTTTTTTATTAATGCGATGATAAAAATGAAATGTTTTATTATTATTAACCATATTAATATCACTAAGGTCGATCGTATTTTCAGAAACTTCATTAAAAAAATTATCAAAATAACGCACCCGCTTTTGTTTAATATCTTTTTATAAGAAAATCACTTTTTTATTTTCATTTTTAGTACAATTTACTTGAGTTAAATCTTTACTTTTTTTTTCTCTTTAATTGGCTAGTTTATACATATATTTTTCACCCTACTTAGTATCTAATCTATTATAGAGATCATTAAAAATAGAATTTTTAGCGTCACAAATTATTCTTCTAGACTCCCTGTAGGCTGTTTGATATTTTTCCCAGTTTTCTGAGCGTTTACATTTAACCAATTTTTAAAACATAACTTCTTATATTTTATCTTTTCTTGCACATCATTATTCCACCACCAACTATTTTTATTTATATAATTTTTTTTTTGATTCTCCAAGTACATTTTTTGCTACTTGTTTGATAGTGTTTGTTACTTTATCCCACATAGCATTTGCTTCATCATGAACATCCCAAATTTTGAAATCCTGAATTTTACTCATAAAAATAATTTTATGTATGTCTTTTAGGTTTCCCCATCTGATTATACGATAATGAGTCATAGTATTCTTTATTTTACAACTCTTCATCTTAAAATCTAAAACTAATAAACGATGTTTGAGCACTTAAATCCTCACTTGGAATGACCTTACAATCTTTACAATCTCGAAAATTTCTTCTTCTCATAAGAAAATAATCAATTTATGTTTTATTAGATTCATTCTTATAAGTAATAAGATGCTCATCTCTTTTCTTGAATAAAGTATTAGTAATAACAAAATCATACGCTAAAGCAAAATCTAAAATGACTATACCTTCTTCATTAGTCACTTCAAAACCGTAGCAACGATGAATATTTCTGAAATCTCCTACCACTCTACTGACATGTCCATTTAAATCTCCTCAAATAATTTTTTTTTCTTCAAGAGGTATCATTTGTATTAAGCTTTCCAAGTCATTCCAGAATTTATCTTTAAACCTTATATCTAAACCTACTTGAGGAGCATAAGCACTTATAATAATAAAAATCTTAGTATCAATGATAATATTAAGGGCTAATATTCTATCTCCAATTCTATTAATTTTTACAACATTATCTTTCAAGCACTTGTCTATAATTACAACTACACCATTTCTAGTGTGACTCGTACCAGAATACCAAAGTTTAAAACCCAAGTTATCAATCTCCTTAGCATTTTCTTTAAACCATTTAGTTTCTTGAATAAATAAGATATTTAATCTTTCTATAAATTATAATATCAACTAATTTCATTAATTTACCATTGAGAGTACCTATAATCCAAGATCTTATCCTAATATTAATTTTATTAGTTTCACAGACTAACTTCTTTGCCCTCACCCTTTTGTAATGTGAGAACTCTTTATTATTTGACACTACACCCAGGCTCTTGTGTAACTGCCCTTGCACACTTTTCACCGTATTCAGGCTATAGAGCGCGTTATACAACTCGTCTCTTCCAGGGGACGCCCTAGCACTTACACAATGATAAAAAAGATTCATGTCAAGATTTTTTCGACAAGTTTTACGCTGGTTGTCGACTACCTAACACAACCCTTCACTTTTCATATCCGAGCTTGAGACCGGCAATGACAGTGTTTTTATATGAATGATATCAACGAACTAAAATATAGCCCTATTACCAGATATGATTAAAATTGGCATAACTTACAGGGTATTATTTAAGTTGTTTGGGTAAGTTGAAATATAAATAAAAAATATATTTTAATCTCTATATATCTAGCTATTTATTATTATACTTATACCTCTAATAATATACAAAAATTTTAAAGCGCAAAAGATATATGAAAATTGATGCAACAACATCTAATAGATAATCAAATAAGCAATCAATCCATCATTAAATAAGCATTTTAAAAAAATCTGAGTTACTTATTAAAAAAAAATAAATGTGTTATCAAACAAGAATAAATTTGTGGTTTAATGGTCAAGCTTATTCATTTATATAGCAAAATTTTAAACTCTATTAAAGTTCATTAAATATTGTAAATAAATGAAAATACATAAGCCTTGAATTGTTTGTCGAGTGCACTAGTTCGCTTCCAACTCTAGACGGAGATGAAAGAAAGGATAAAGTCTAGATAGAATCTTATCGAAGGCATTCAAGATATGTACCGATCATTTATTTTACTTCTACGTCTCTGCTCGGTGGCAGAATGCTTTGATCGTGGCGTGCTGGTCTTCTGCTCATTGTTTTTTCCATCAACCTTCATGGTCAACTCTACAACAAAAATATTTTTCTAGTTAAGCACATAAAAATAAATTTATCTTTTCAAAAAAGCAAAAAACTAAGGGCATGTTCGGTATCCTACTTTCGGTAGCATTTAAGCAAACTTTAGCTAAAACCCAACAAAAAAAATATAGATATATTTGGATATTTGGAGATTTTAAATCTTGTTGTTATGATAAAATCTATATTTGCCCCCTTTATTGTTATATCTAAATTTAATTAAATCAGAATTTGCATTCACACCACATAATTCTAGTGTATTTATATATCTAACACCTAAAGTTTGATTTTTACATATATAACACTTTATAGTCATAATCATATCAAAGTATTTGAATGAAATGATGTAATTCACTCTAAAAAAGTTAATATTAGTGGTCTATTTTATGTGATGTTAAAAATTTGAGTGTAATATAAGTAAAAGATAATTACATACACAGCACAAGAAACTTTAATATAGGTAAATAGTAAAGATTAGATGTTAGATATGTTTATTCAAAAAAAAAAATTGTGGTATGTACGTAAATCCCTCTTTAAGTCCCCCCATTGGGATTTAACCTATTTAAGTGGGTGTTTGGCTTCAACTTGCATTTAGGTTAAATATTATTTAGTAAATCCGTTACATCCAGATTTATCAAATCCAGAGCTATCAAATCCATGATTGTGTTTGATTCATTTTATCATTAAATCACGTAAATCCAGCCTTAAATCCTGCTACCAAACACTAAGTATTTCTCTCTCAAATACAATTTTAAATCCTAAAAGAGATAGTCAAACAGTTTATATTATTTAACAAGTTTTAATGCTTTTCATACCAAATAGATTTCATTATCTAATCCTCTCAAGATCTACTAACTCTCACAGAATTTAATAAATCCTAGTTGCAGTCAAACAGCCTCTAAAATTGAGAAAGCGCACGTGCGGAAGAAAAAATGCCAATGCCAGAGCGAATGTAAATTATACAATGACAAGCGATATGCAAAAAAATTGAAAGTTAGCGACCTTTTTGAGAAGTGCATTCTTTCTTCCCGAACACCTCCTCATCGTCGTCTTCGTCTTCAAACGCTATGCCGAATCTCGAGAGAGACTCCATGAATCGATTCTTCTTCTGGAACAAGCTGTTCCTGTTCGAAGTTTCTTAAGCTCTCAATAAACTTATAGAGGTAGAATCGTGGAGAGGTGGAGACAGCTAGTAGAAGCGGAAGCGAATGCTGGGCTAAGTAGGTGCCATGGTAGTGATCATAGGGAACTACGAGCGGCGAGTGGAGATGGCCGCTGCCTTCAGAACCGAAGAACTAGAACAATTTCACGCGAAATTAAGGTGAAATTTTTTGGATCAATCTGATTTTTACAAATTATGTACTAAATTTAGGTATAAATATATAAAAAATATATATAATTTTTTTTTATTTCGAGCTAAACACAGTCGAACAACAATTACTTCGTGTTTGATTCATTTATAATTCTAGATTAAAAAAATTTTGTCCATGTCCTGCTCGCTTAACCAAATCATTGCAGTTGGAGCTACTTAATAAGCCAAATAAGAATTGTTCAAGAACAATAATTTTTTTTGAGAGATCTTGCTATAATACCCTACAACTATAATGTATTATTTTCAATTATTATTCATGAAGATCTTTAAATTTTCTGTGCGGCTTCCTAGTAATATACCGTAATGCGTGTTATATTGGGTCCACCTAAAAAAATATTAAAGTGGAATCGCGAACTCAGCAATATCCCAAAAATAACTTCTGCAATTCCACTTCAATAAGCCTGAAATAATACCACAGAGGTTATTTCGGGATTATTGAAGAGAAACTCATATATTCCACTTCAATAGCCTCGAAATAACATTCACGATATAACACATGATTATTAGAGTTTGCACGTAGAGCTACATCCGGAGTCCGGACAGTAAATTTTTCCAGCTTCACGACACCTACCTTGTCGCTACCATGCAAGCTAGCAGCAATCTTTTTATATATATGTCTATAAAAGCAAGCAAAGTTCCAAAATAATCCCCTACTATTGAGTATTTACATGGAGCGTTCTAAACCAAGAGTTTATATACATTTTAACGAATACAAAATGTGAGTCCCCTTAACTAATCTAAGTATTCACACTAGAGGCAGAAGATTCCCCTGCAATAACAATTACTGCTACATGTAGCCGTAGGAACCCAGCAATAAGGGCTGAACTGGAGAAGAAATGGAGATGATATTCTTTCTTGCTTAGAAAGCAAGTTTATTCATATCAAGAGGAGCTTTAATCAGATCAGATAAATTCCCATGCGCAGCTCAACACAATTTTTAATAATCTAATCGGGCATCAAAAAAATATTGCTGAATCCTGATGTGAATATAATTGGCTGCTCATCTGCAGCTTCAAGTTCATTTTTCTAACAGAATGAACTTCACAACATATTTTACAAATGAATGGAAGCATTCTCTGCATGAACCAGGCAAGAGAGTCGATCCATGGAGCTGCTGGATCTGACTGGTATGTCTGCAAACTTGATTAGAGAATGGGCGAGCGCAGGATTTTGAATGTTCGAAGCCGCATGCAGCTAAGATGGAATGGGTGGAAGATCTAGCAATTTCCTTGAATTTCTCAGTACCTGCAATAGCTGCGGTTAGTTTCTCCGAACACAATTCGTAGAACTACAAGATGATGCATAAGTAATGTTAAGTGATTATTTGTTTTAATTGTTTTAAATCCTTCTTCAGTCAGTATCTGATTGGTATGAACTAAGCATATTGCGTGGATTACAATAAGAAAAGAGAAAAGGGTCAAAATAATCCTCTAAATCTTTATAAAGGGCCCACTTTAGTCTCAGAATCCATAAAACCATTAATGTGGTCCTCCAACACTTCTAATATGTGTTAAAATAATTCCATACAGAGAACTATTTCAACCAATATTAAAAGGATCCGAGGACCAATTTGAAATTTTTTAGAGACTAATATTAAAATGGTCCCATGAAAATCATCAGGAGACTATTTTGGCACATTATTCAATAGAAAATCAAACATGTATATAGGAGCATAGCCCAATCATATCGATAAAAATTTAAGAAAAAAAACTCGAAATGTAATAGAAAGCAAAGTTCGCACATCCACGAGAAGAGCACAACAGGCCTGATGTTTGACAAGAAGGCGACAGTAAGAGTAACAGAAGCTTATGAAACTAAGAGGGCTTCGCAAAGGGGCAAAATGCACAAAAGAAAGCTAGAAAAAAATTCTTAAGCCGAATAAGAACTTGTGCATACATAAGCCTGAAAATCTAACATATGAGTAAAAGATGACGGACTTACCCAAACATTCACCTTTACTTAGCTGCTTTAGGTAGAGCTTGACAATTGACTGGATCTCAAATTTTGCTTTGTTGTTTGATATTTCATGCCCTTTTGATGAACATCTGTTGTTATGTCCTGTTGCCACTTCATTACCATCTTGAGGCGACTCTTTATTGCAACTAGGCCCTAAGGATTTCCTGGCTGCTTCACATGTAGCACTAGAAAGCGAAGAGCAGTAAGTTTCATGAAATTTAGAGGATGGCCATACTGGTGAAGCCTCCTTGATAATGCCAGCAAAATCTGTTGTCAAAGCCCTATTTGTCTTGATAGAATCTAATTGCATCTCATTATAAGATTTTATAGCTGATTTGCTATCATATCGCGACTTAATTGGAAAGTCTGTATCTGAAAATTTCTGACTAAAACCAGTGAATTTATGCCTTTCATGCATGACATTATTCCTAACCTGTTTGTAGGTTCCTGATGAACTACAACCTACCACTTCATCAGCGGCCATCTTATTCTTGGGGATCAAGAGATTTAAAGGATGGCTTACAGCTCCTTTTGACGCTGAAATAGAATTAACAGACTTCAAGGATTTATTGAATCTATGTGAATTCAAAGAAGAGTCAGCCATAAGCAATTTCTGTTTTTTTGCAATTTGCATCATCTTCCATGCTTTATTAATGTCTTGCAAGTCGTTAACTAAAGGCATTTTTCTAGAACTACTGGAATCTGTCGATTGCTCATTATTGATCAAATTTGAGGATTCTGACCGCTGTGACGGAGCTGGATTTGGCCTGCTGGTACTTGATTCTGCACCTGACACTGCGTCTCCATTACTATCTAAGGTGGATGAGAAAGCCAAAGATCCAGATTGCAGAGCAGTCCAATTGTTGCGAAGATCCTGCACACGCCTTTGCAAATTGCATGATGGTTGATAGGTCCTCGCTCTTCGCCCAACACCTCTTAGTTGAAGATTCAGGTCGGTTCCCTGAGAAGGAGAGTAAGAAGAATCCGGTTCATCTATATGAAGCATGATATCTTGAGAATTCCTTTGCATGTTAGTACTACTTCTGGTTTCTGTTCTATTATGAAAACATTGCTGCTCCAAATTAGAGCTCTCATCAACCACAATATCAAAAATGGAAACAGTTTGCTGTTGATCCAGTAAGCGGGTGCTCTGATCTTGGTCCCTATCATCAGCATCCCCATCAATTTTTGCATGTTCTTCCCTCAGAATGGTGCAGTCATGACAATACCAATCACCTTCAGGGACAGTATAACCAAGATCGGCGCAATAAGTATGAAAGGCTGAATCACATAGGTCGCACAGCAGTAGTAGTTCATCATCATTAGAGCCATGACACACTTTGCAATTAGCTTGAGCATATGGATCAGAAAGTGCACTACTTTCATTACCTAAAGGATGATAAACCTATGAAAACAAAGAAGAAATATCAAGTAAGCACACATCATTACAAGGTTGATGATGGCATTACTACATTCATCTATATTACCTACGTTCTACCAAAGAATTTTTTTTTCTTCTATTAACGTCGACCAGCCGATGGTACGGATAGAAAAGTAGATAATTTAGATTTGATTTAGTTTAGGAAAGGTAGAGGTAAACCTAAAAAGATTTGGGTGTGTTGTATAAAAAGTAGTATGAAAGGTAAAAGAGTAAATGTTTTCTATTTGACTTGCTTTAAGAAAGGTAGAGGTAGACTTAAAAAGACTTAGGCATGTAAAACATCTTTATTAGAACTAAATGAAAATATGACACTCAATAGGACACAATGGAGAAAAATGATTCATGTAGCCGACCACTAGCGGTATAAAGGCTTGTTGTTGTATTCATAACAAGTATAGAAAGGTTTTCTCTCTTTTGCATGCTGTAATGACAACTATGTCCAATTCAAACTATATATGAGCTTCAACTAGTGTTAATTCTTTTCAACTAGTGTTGATTCTTTCTCAATGACATTTGTCATAACTCACAAACACCAAGATTGATGCCAAAACAAATTAAAACAAAATTGCACGTAATTTGCGTGAAGATGTTAGAAGCATGCACTACAGTTGGTGATGCATCTACAAACCACTAAAAAAGGTGACAACAATTGATTTAATATATTAGCACCTCAGGTTTAATCAACAAGCAGAATAATTCCACAGAATAAGATCATAGTTCTTAAAGGTCAAAGAATACGCATGGAAGTTGCATTCCAAATTTGTATTACTATGGACCAAATCTATAACCAGAATATGTATAAAAAGCTGTAGTTGACTCGGTTTGATAAGCAACCACTCAGCAACTCATTGTTAATTGTTAAATCTGCTCCCCTAAATATTGATCGTCTGACCTTTTTACAAAAGGTTTTTTATTTTTCTCCTAGAGGTTAATTAAGGAATCTCACTGCAAAAACCTAAATTAATGTATATATAAGCAATTGAAGAAGAGATTTAGAGCTGGAACCTCATTTCGGTTATGCTAGTGTACATGTACTGTGAGTTACTCCTACCTTCAAGTTCTTATCATTATGAATGGATTCAGTGCATCCAGCAGTACCAATAATTCTCAAGAATCAATTTTGTATATGACATGGAGCTAGCCTTTTGCTCATGGTGATTCACATTCAAAAGAGTTTGAAATGTGTCATACGCCAAGAATTCATTATCCAAATATATTGAGCCATAGTTTTATTCTCAATAATAAATGAATTTTTATTTACATTGAACTTGATTTTTGCAACAATTCATGAATATGTATTACATAAAAATTCATGCCAATTTTATGCTGCAAGGTAATAGTCCTTGCGGCATGAAAAAGGGGTATTTGATAAATCTGGAGTTGAATTTGGCTTCCCTTTTTTTCCAAAATTGTTTAAAAATGTGTTCATTAAAAAATAAAATAAAATAAAATAATGTACAAGTCCATTGCAAACAATCACCTATCACAAAATTGAGCCTGGGTCAAAAGGACTAGTGCATTTCGCATAAAAGGCAGCTCTATTTCTATTGTTCCAGCTTTATCAGCCAAACTCCATGTTTAATTATTTTTGCGGTTTTCTAAAACATATCTAACTTCAATAGAATATTATGAGTTCCATTAACACATATTTATAAGAAATTTTGACGCTTTTTGAAGTAGTTCCGGCTAAAAAGTATGTTTTTCCTTCTGCCAACACCTGAATCTCTTTCTAGTTGCATATATTTGTAAGTAATTGGTTTTTCTCATCACAAGGTTAAAAATTTTGCCTAAACATTTGGCAAGTTATCCAGTTTTCCCTTATTTTTGGTCCCTTTCATAACCTCTATGTGCAGCTAAATCATATGTTTATTAAGTTCATAAAAATTTCCATCTAACCCCACCAAGTTTCTTACCCAATGCCCTCTATCTATCCTCTACAATTATGTTAGCCACTACTACCAGTTAACTAACTTTACAAGCTTCCTGACTACCACCTCTAAGCATTATGCAAGAAGTCAGTTGCATGCGTTGAAGAGAATCACTTGTTCTTGCCCATAATTCAACCAAATGTAGAGAAGAAGATTGGCAAAGTCACCAATGGAATGATCAGAGGCTAGTAGTTATCTTGGTTGGTGTCATTCAAAGGCATGTTTTTGTTGGGTGGTCAACAATGACACAAATGAGAATCAACCAGTTCAATGGCAAGGATTTTGGGTACTAAAAAATTCATATTTAAATTGAAAGCTATCAGTGGCAGAGAAAGTTACTTTCGACACATAAAATCTAATTTAAAAATCTTTTAATCTAAAAATGGTTGAAGGTGCTTTCACAATGGCATATCAATGAGTTCAAACTGATCATAATTCAATCGAGCAATCACTTCTTTTGTATAAATTCAATGAGTATAAAAGTAAAAATTAGAAGAGAAGCTATATAGCACCGACACTTCTAAAAATGTGTTGTACCCATGTCAGACACGTATCAGACACCGACACTTGTCTAACACGCCCCAATACTTCTCCGACATTACAAAAAATATCTAAGTTTTTGTCAGGCTCGAACACGTCTGGGAAACACCTCAACACTTCATTGGACGTGGGTTTAACACAATATCGAAATAATTGGATATGAAATATACGTACACCACTTTATTTCTCGTCATGTTGAGACCACCTCTAACATCTGTCAAAATCGAGCATTGAAGATACATTCAATACTCATCGAAGCCGAGCTTTAACAATTCCCTCTTTGTAATCATAAGTTTATTTTAAAATTTTAGTAGATAAATTTGATTATAAGTTGGATGAGTTCTTTTGAAACATATTGTATTTAGTTTTAAAATTTAATTTTCATAAGCATGACGTTTTATAATATAAATTAAATTTATGAAGTTAAATTTTATTCTTGCATAATTTGTGTAGTGATATTTTTAATAAATAATAATGAAAAATATATATATTATATACTAATAATTAATTAAATATAAAAACGAGTCAATGACGTGTCGTGTTCTATTTTTTTTCAATAGTGTCCTGTCATCGTATCCTATCATGTCGTGTCAATATCCCCGTATTCATGTTCGTGCTTCATAGAAGAGCAGTTAGTAGAGTGATTGGAGGCAATAATTATCTTAATCTATGTCATCAAGTTGGATTATCTAATTTTTTTTTTTGGTGATCAACAAAAACATTGAAGGGATAAAGGTGATTTTTGGAATGCATGGCCCTTCTCAAGAGAAAATCAATGACTATCACATGAACTGATGACAAGCCAAATGGTCCAACATAAGAGAAGTATGCTTTCTTTTACATACGGTTAGAATAAAAGATAAAGCAATTGTGCTTAAGTTTGAGGGAAAAAGTGTAAGAACAAGCGTGAGGGAAGAATACTATAGTGTAAAAAAAGTAAGAAAAAATATTTGAGGGCAAATGATTGCATTATATTTCTGTCTATGGGCCAATAAAAATTTATCTCTTTGTATGGCTATGGAGCGAGATAGTCATAACCAAAACAACCTAAACAACCTAAACAACTGAAACAACCTAAAGCATGGTCTATTACACAACCTAACAAAGAAAAGATGGAGTGCACATCTCTTATAACTACCTAGTGGTAATTAACTAATATGTATGTACAACTACTAGAATAGTCAGCACTACACAAATATATCAATCCTATACTATTCTCAGTGAGGTATGAAAGAATTTCTATGATTCCCTCGTCTCTTGCTTCATGGCATCAGAGCAGCAAACCCAGGTGATTCGGGTCTTCTCTATTTTCACAACCATGAGGCGTCTAGGAAGCAGAGATTGGTTGTCGATCTTTATCGTCCGCTCTGGGCTCCTACAAAAGAGTAAGGGTTCGCATTTTCCTCCCCTAAACGTCTCTATATTGATCGTATCTCTCGATCAATCTTCTACCAAACCCTTCTATAGATCCATCACTTTAACTACTGAAAGGTCAACTTCTCCATTATCTAAAGCTCACTATTCCCCCTTTATGGACACTTTACTAGCTAATGTTATACCTCCCATCACTGAAATTTCGACTGAATAACCTGAAAAATTTCAATGAAAGTCCTCTTACAGCTGAGAACTACCATATATGGAGAGCACGGGTTTTTAAGGGGTTTTCAACAAATGGTTTCTTGGGTCTCCTACAAAGAAACACTCCATATCAACCTAAATCTTTGTCTTCTGACGAAGATACACTAATACCCAATCCTCAATATTCAAGTTGAATTCTAATTGATCAAAACTTGACCGCAACTTCGTTTTCAATTATCTCTCTTGCAATCATGTCTTGTGTGCTTCATCTATCCACTGCTATTGAAATTTGGAGTACCGTTGTCAAATGTCTCCAACCAACAAATAGATCGAGGCTCATTCAATTGAAAAACGAACTTCACAATCTTTCGATGAATACTAATCCATGACTCAATACCTCTCTACCATCAAAGCTTCGGTGGATAATATATCGGCAATAGGAGGACATCTATGTACTACCATCGAACTACCAAGCATTCAAGACGGTTATCCGTACACAAATACAATCTATTGAGCTCGACGACTTCTACGTCTTATCGTGCAGTGAGAAAATCAATCAAGCCACTGATCAACACAAATTGGGGCTCTTGGCTAACCCACAATTGGCAATGAATGCTTACCGGTGATGAAAAAACACCTCATCCCTGTGGAAGAAATCAACCATCTAAATCTACCACATTTAAATCAAGTTGCACTCAACCCGCTCTTTAGTTGTGTGGCAAATATGCAATAAACTTGGACATACAGCTACGCATTACTGGCACCATTTGAATCTCGAATACACACCCACCAACAAGGCATTGCAAGTAGAAACTTATTGGGTTCTTGATTATAGAGCTACAACCCACCACACTGCAGACCTCAACCAACTTCAACTAGCTACACCAGCCAAAGGATTTGAACAAGTTCTTGTGGGAAATTGCAAACCCATAGAGGTGAAACACATAGGTGATGGTATTCTTTCTACACCAACCTGCTCTCTTCACCTTCATTTCATATGGCATGTACCATCCCTTTCCCACAATTTACTATCCCGTTCATAAACTCATTAAAAACAACAATGTTGTCATTTTGTTTGATAAATTTGATTTTCTTATCTTTGATTCATAGACTCACCAAATCTTACTTCATGGCCATAGCTCAAGGGGTTATACTCTATTCCTACTTCACAATGCTATCCACCTCCTTCTGTTACCCATCAAGTTTTGTCTATCTCCATACAAACATCTACATTGTGGTACAAAAGGCTTGGACATCCTCATCCGACATTCTACATCGTTTATCCAAGTCTCAAACGGCACTTGAATCAATTATCATTTCTTTTTATGCAATAGTTGCAAATGTACCAAGAGCCATAGACAACCTTTTCCGTCTAGTTTCTCAAATATGAATTTACCTTTACAACCTATACATTCAGATGTACGAGGTCTGTCCCCAATATTATTAACTCAGAGCTTTCGTTATTATGCGATTTTCATTTATGATTATTCCAAATTTTGTTGACCATACCCCCTCAAGCATAAATCTAAACTTCCACAAATATGTTTTCAATTCCTCCGAATGCTAAAGAATCAATTTAATACAACAATAAAAAATTTTATGATCTGACAACGGAAGTGAATACACTGACTCTAAGCTCAAACAAGTCTTTCATGAACAAGGAATCATCCACCAATTTTCTTGCCCATATGCACCCCAACAAAATAGAGTGGTCGAATGTAAATACCGCCACTTAATTGAGATCACCAGAACCTCAGTGCATGATGTGTCTCTTCCACTCAAATTCTATCTTGAACCACTTCTCACCGTCGTTTACCTCATCAACCGCATGCCCTCCAAAATTACAAAATGGCTTACTCCCTATGAACTCCTCCACAAGAGATCTCCTACATATTCTCACCTAAAAATGTTTGGTTGCCTATGCTACCCATGGTTGAAACTTATAACAGCACACAAATTGGCTTTCCAACCCACACCCTGCATATTTCTTGGCTACTCTCCAAGCCACAAAAATTTCAAATGTTATAATCCTCACAAATCTAAAATTATCATCTCTCGTCATGTTGTTTTTCATGAAACCACACTTCCCATCTTCAAGATCATCCACCATCCTCACCCCCAACCAATTTTGTATTCAACCTGTTGCTCCTCATGCATCAACTACTCAGTCACCTGAATCTCCTATAACTGTGCCTATCAATCACTAACTGCATTCTACACAAACCCCTTCCTCTCCTCAAGCACCGAACACCAGAATCTGCTTCTCAGCATGCCCTGAACATCCCCTACCTACTACTTCCCTATCCGCTGAGCTCTGTCAACAGCGCCTATGCCTGCAACTCCTTCGCCCGTAGCGCCAACTCTCAAAAAAACCCATCCGAAGACAAACCGTACCAAATTCGACGCCCTTAAACCTCTTCAGCGCCTCAACCTACTCCACCATACTCCACACATACCTGATCCTACATCCTAGTCGCAAGCTGTAAAGCATGAAAACTGGAGGAAAGCTATGCGTGCAGAATTTCATGCACTCCAAGCTCAAGGCACATGCACACTTATTCCTCTTCCACCGAACGCACTTGTGTTGGAATATTGTTGGACATATTGTACCAAATATCATTCAGATGGATCAGTGGCATGCTATAAAGCGAGGCTTGTAGCTCAAGTATTCAATTAAGAATACGGTATCAACAATTATGAGACTTTCAGCACAATTGCGAAAAATGCCGACTCTCCGAACTCTCTTGATTGTGGCCTTCAACAACAACTGGTCAATCTTACAGTTTAATGTGTCTACTGCTTTCCTTCATAGAACTCTTCAGGAGACGATCTATATGAGATAACCAATAGGCTTTACGGATGCGCAATTCCCTCAGCATGTGTACAGCCTCAAACAATCTCCTAGACAATGGTAAACCACAATCTCATAATTTTTTATTCAATTGGACTTCGTGGTTAGCCATGTTGATCCGCCTCTACGTATACTACGCAAATCGGCATGTAATATATTTCTTCTCCTATATGTAGATACATTCTGGTGACAGGAGATTATATGGATATCATTCAGGAACTGACCATAAAACTTCCCAACTCTTCCAAATCAAGTGGGCGAGATATATAAATTTTCAGGCATTAAAGTATCCTGGGCAGCATGCTCAATATTTTTGAGTAAACAATCTTACCTTACAAACATCATTCAAGAGATAGCTACAACGGGATGCAAACGATTCTCCACCTTTCTTCCCAGTAAGAAACTCGAAGCAACGGATACTACACCACCCTTGGACAATCCAATTGAATATAGAAGGGTTGAGGGAGCTCTACAAATATATCATAATTACCAGACTAGATATCTCTTTTTCGGTGAACCATATATGCCAACATATGCATAAACCAACAATGGATCACTTCCAACTACTTAAACGTCTTCTTCGCTATCTACATGGCACACTTGACCATAGCATTCTTATCACACGTGGAAAACTTCTTCAAAAATTTTCGGATGCCAACACGTGGTGAACTGCAAATCTACAGGGTTCTGCTCTACGCTTGGAAAGACTCCTATCTCTTGGACAGTGAGGAGACAACAAACAGTGGCAAAGACATCTATGAGGGTGGAATACCGTGCTTTAGCCACGGCTACAACTGACATAATATGGATTCATCATACTCTAACGGAGCTCGGGGTTTCTCAATCCCAACCGATAAAGCTATTTTGTGATAACACATCAGCCATGACACTCGCCAACAACCTGGTCTTTCATACCAGGAAGAAGCAAATAGAAATTGATTATCATTTCATCCAGGACCATCTTCAAAAGGGCCAGATTGAGATTCACTACATTCCTGCCCAGGACCAACCAGGTGGCATCTTCACTAAAGAACTTACTAAACCAAAGTTCAATTACTTTAAATTCAGGATTCAGGTTCTTTCCAAGAACCATCATCTTGAAGGGGGATCACAACCGACACAATCTAAGGCATGTTCCATTAAACAACCTGACAAGAAAAAGGTGGAGTGCACATCTCTTATAACTACCTAGGGGTAATTAGGCAATGTGTATGTACAGCTCCTAGAATATTCAGCACTATACATATATATCCATCCTGTACTATTCTAAGGTATATGTACTATTCTCAGTGAGGTATGAAAGAATTTCTGTGATTCCCTCTTGTCACTTGCTTCAGATAGATATCCCTGAACTACGAAAACACTTGTGTGTTCCATATTCTAATATTCTCCTTGCAGATTATTTTTCTCATTCTTATGACTGCCATTTGTTCTCAAACATACTTTTCTTACTCTATTCGTTTTAAGCTCTTGTCATCATCAACCGATGATAAATTTAGTGTTGCTGACAATGCTCAACTGCAAATTATAATTCACAAATTAGAGCTAACCCACTTAAAAAAGCAAGTCTTAGTTATTTTCTCCCCTAACGTTAATTAGGACAAGTTAAACGAGGAATCAATCAAATCAATTTCAAGCAATTGCCTCGAGAGGACTAAAATTTCAATACGTAGCAATCCAGCAAAGAACCATAACCTAAACCTGACAACAAACCATTCCAACTCACTTTGCATTTAAAAAAACGGAATAATTTGCCAAACCTGGTCACGGGATGGGATTTCCAAAACGCTCTGGGACAAGAGGAGGCCGGAAACCTCCGGACGGTGTATGAAATGAAACCGCTGCTTGCACAGGGGACAGCGGGATTCGACCTTGGCCCACTCCATGATGCATACGAAGCAGAAATAGTGGTCACAGCTATCGATCCGGCCGCGTAATGTCAGACCGCCGTCCGAGAAGCAAATCCCGCACACCGCGCCTTCTTCCGTCGCCGAATCTCCCATCTTCTCCTTCCCCTTCGGGCTTTGGGTTACCTGGCGGTTGATCGAAAGCACGTCTGAGGCATCCATTGTTCGCACGCCGGAGGTATCAAAGGCACTTCCATATTTATAGGGGTAATACCGTTAGACCGACTAAACGCGAATATGGACGTGGGTTCTATCCCTATTGGGCTCATTTGTAATAATATTTGATTGTTACGGTTATAAGTTAAACTAGGCTCCTAATGAGTCTGTTCATATTTTACTTCATGTTGTTCGGATTTCTTAGTGAGCTGCCCTTTAATGCTTTTTTATTCTAATTTGGGTTCAAATTGATGGCTATTAATAATTTAAAATTAAATTAAAAAATATTACTTTGCTTAATAATTATGTTTCGATTATTTAAACATTCAAAGAAATTAAATTGTTTTTATTTTAAAATAATTTATATCATCAAATTATTTTAAATTTATTAGATTAAGAAAATCATATCCTAAATTAATGATTTATCAGGAAAAAATAGATTTAATTTTTCAATTTGATTAAATATTAAAGAGATTAAGTGTATGAGTATACTTTAATCGATTTTATATTGATCTTGGGTTGTTTTTGGGGCAGCTACAGCTGTTTAAAGAAGCACTAGTGTTGTTGCTATAGAAGAAATTATTTTTTTTTTAACTGCGGTGGTTATTATAAATTTATTTTATTTTCAAAAAGTCTAACTGCAGCTTTCTAGTAATCACCTTATTTTAACAGTTCAGATTGAAAAAAATAGTTTTCTACCACAGAACTTTCTAAAAAACAATAAGAAAACTGTTTCCCGAACAGAACTGTGGTGGCGGTATGAAAAATAAAACAGACATAAAGCTATCTCAAACAGAACTTTAATCTAAGACTAGACCAATATAAAATTAAAAATTAATATTAATCATTTCTATCAAAATTATAACAAAATAAAAATCCTTGTTTTGAAATATTAATAATAAATTAATCTATTATTTTACTTCACAATGCAAAAAGAAATTCTTTCCTTGCATATTAATCTACAATTGGGTTTTTAATGGATAAAACAATACTCATAATTATTTAGAAGAGTAAATTATTGATATGTTTTCCTATATTGAGAAAAGATCATGGCAGGTTTATGAAGGATTAAAAATTTTAATTATAGTTTTAATTAATACCCATATATTTAAATTAAATATTTTTTGTTTAATACTCAGATACGTGTGACCATATTACACTACAAGTCTTACTGAACGAGTTAAAAAGAATAACAAATAACATGTAATGAGCTTGAAAATATGTTTTCTAGCAAGAACAAGACATGCAGAAGACATATAATGAAGCTAACCGCTTACCCAAAAAAAGAACGAAAATTTCATTGAAGGATTATAAATTGAAGGGAACTAGTGTCGCCTCAAGCATAATCAAGGCTAAACTCCATGTTCGTCATTGAATTCACAACACAGATGTTTAAGTTGACATAGCAAAAGTGAAGGCTCGAAATAAAATCTAACATGTTATTCAATGACCATAATGTTCATGCAAGTGTTCAAGTTTTAAACGATTTCAAAGCTTAAGCAAGACTTAGCTATTGTAAACTCTAATGAACGTCTTGAAGAATGTGTGAATGCCTTCATATTCATGTAACTACATCACACAAACGCCTCGAAATGCATGCATGTTAGTGAAAAAAACTCACATTGATCTGCCATCAATAAATTTCTATCATCCGACACAAATTTGAAGGCATAATGACGATCTAAAGATAAATTTTTTAGCAAGAAACATTCAAACTTTGATTAAAAATGATCAATAAGTTTAATTTCAACAAATTTATAGTCAAATTGTCTGGTTCGACAAGACTGATCCAACCGTGTCAAAATCGGTCCATTCTGATTCAATTCAAGTCATATCAAGTTGTTAAACCACTTTTGGATGTTTTCTAGGCTTAATTTTAAGGTCAAAATGATTATGAATATGATATGTTTATATTCAAATTGAGCATCACAACAAAACAAATCTAACGAGCTCAAGATTGTTTAATTCCGACATCATTAAGTCAACAAAATGTCTATCAAATATCGTCCGATCAATGTAATCTCTCTGGGTCATCCGATCAAGAGTGATGAGGATTCCTTCATTGAAGACTTAGACTTTATAAATAAAGTCATACCCCCTCATAAGAAGGTGGCCTAGACCTTGGACAAGAAGAAGACCAAAGCCTGTAGAAGAGAGAGCTGCAGCTCAGCATCTTACACTGCAGATCCAGTCAACTTTAACCACTGACACCTTCGGTCGCTTCCAGCCATCTTCATTGCTTCTGGCCACCACCGCCCACCGTCAGTGTCCTGCACCTACAACCTTCGACCATTGTCTTCCTCTCACTCCTGCAGATGTTGGCCAATGTCGTCTACCAACTTCGGCTGGCGTCATCCAACTCCGGTTGCTGCTACCTAGGGGTGTAAACGAACCGAACACGAACGAACAAAGCTTGTGTTCGTGTTCGGTTCGTTTAAAATTTAGT